CTTGAAAATGAAGCCTACAGGTACCTTTATGGACCTTGTGGTTCCTCTCTCTAATTCAAGGATAAAGCACTTTGGATTCTCATGAGGAATACAGTTCCCAATGACCATATATACCGCTTTGCCCCCTCCCCCCAAACTTGGGGCACATCATCCAGAAATGTCTCAGATGACTAAAGGAAAACCCAAACAGATATCTTCTGTAATATCCTGACGACTGAAGCTAAATTGGTATAGATATCCCACTGAATGATTTAATGGATACTTGTTAATCCTTCTATGGGTGATAAGCCAGCTTGGAATATTCACAAGTCACCCCCATTCTGTTTCTAATTCTGTGCACACTCTCCTTTTGCTAGGAATCAGCTTCTCTCACCAGATCCTCTTTCCACATTGCCATTCATCTTATGTTACTCCTTGTATCATTGCATCATTGAAGATGGAATCACAGGACTTCACAGCTGCAAGACACCACAGAATTTCTGGAATGCAATCCCTTCACCTTAGAGATGAGCATTTTGAGGCCCAGGAAATTTAAAAAAATTTCCTATAGACTTACAGAGAATCTTCAGGGTTGCAATAAGACATGTTTTGTGATTTCCAACTCATCCCAAATCCTACTCCACTTGAATGCTTTTCTCAGGATAAATTCAGTTAGTTTAGCCTTTCTGTCAGGTTCTTTGGACTTTCCTCTTTTCCATTCCTATCTTCCAGTAACATGTCTGTAATTCCATTGCAGAAAATAATAGAGGAGAAGAAGAACTACTTCTTGCTGAAGAATGAAGAGACCTCTGAAAAATACTGTCAGGATGAACTGAATTTGCTTTCAAAGTCCCTAATGGAAAGCATTTTTGCAGGAACTTTCTCTGTTCCTGGAGGCCACAAGCTCTACATGAAAGCAAGGGAAAATGTTGAATAGGACTACTTGCGAGTGCCCAGGAAAGGAGTCAAGGTGAGGTATATGGGGTCATGGGGAGCTTACAGAATAGTCCAGGATATTTTAAATCTGAGGACACAGCACTACTTGTGAGTGATAAGAAAGCATGATACCTTTATCTCCCTCCTTCTTCCTCAAAGCTGGAGATCGAAACCAGGGCTTTGTGCAATCTAGACAATCTAGCTCTACCACTGAGCTACTCTCTGACCCCACTTAGGCTTCTAATGCTTCCTATTTATTATATTTTCCTGAGATTGGAAGTGTTTATTTTGAAAGGTATTATGGATTCAGAAATTCAGGGAAGACAGAAAGAACTTATGAATTTCTTTATCCACATTACTTGAAATATGCCAAGTTCTGGTGATTCCCAAGGTTCAGTCAGAGCCTTTCCTTCCAGGGCTGATCAAGGTAGGAAAGAGTCAATTAAATAGACTATTACATATTGAGTGATATCACTTATGAGCCAGGGACAACAGGCTACATAGGTGGTGGCAGGAAACACAGTAATGGCACAACTAGCATTTCAAATTCTATTGACTATAGACATGGTGATATGTTCTTTCCTGAGAACTTTTATTTTGTTTCCCCAACCACTTTTTTGGATTACCTTTTCTTCGGGTGGACATTTTACACATCTGGACTGAGAAGCTCAGCCAGATTTAATAACTAGTCCAAAGTTATAACCACCAGTGGTGGGAGAAAGCAGCAACATAGACCAGAGGCAGCACTTCACATTGGAAGACAAATATATGAAAGCATCAGAGATTGTTGTTTGTACAATGCCCATCTTTCAGACTGGCTGGAGCTTAAAGCAGGTGGAGGTAAGGTGTTTGGGAGAGGGGCTGGAGGGGGCAGGAAGAGGAGATAATGGAGGGTCTCAGGTTATACTGAGGAGCTTGGTCACTTAGAAGGGAGCCATTGTGGAATTTTATCCTTGAAGCCAAAATGATATGGACATATGTGGGGTTTTTTGTTTGTTTTATTTTATTTTATTGTTTTGTTGAAGACTGTGGATTGAACTCAGGGGTGCTAAACAATCCTGAGTCACATCCCCCGCCCTTTCCCTTTATTTTTAAATTGATTCCTAGTATCATTATTATTTTTGGTATTAGGGCTTGAACTCATGAGTATTTAACCACTGAGCCACATCCCCAGCCCTATTTTATTATTTTATTTACCTTGTTTCACTGAGTTACTCAGTGCCTAGTCTTTGCTGAAGTTGGCTTTGAACTTGTGATCCTCCTGCCTCCGCCTCTCAAGTCACTAGGATTACTGGCGGTGCCACCAGCCCAGCTATTTTTAAATTTTAAGGCAGAATCTTGCTAAGTTGCTTAGGGCCTTGCTATGTTTCTGAGGTAGGCTTGAACTTGCCATTCTCCTTTCTTATCCCCTGAAGTTGCTAGGATTACAGGTGTGCACCACTGCCTCTGGCTGATATATTGTTTTTACAGAAGTGGTCTCTCAGTGAAATATAAGTTCTTTCTTTCTCCTTGGCTTCATAGGCAGGTGATGTCTTCCAGAGGTTCCTGCAGTCACAGGCAGTAACAGAGGAATTCATCCTGCAGGCAGATAAAGCCCTCACTGATGGGGAAAAGGCCATTGCAGGTACAGGGGCACGACTCCACTCCCAGATGGTGGTTGGATTCCTGTAATGCCCTCCGACAGGTCTGTGAATCTGTGGAATGCATGTTCTGATGAATGTGTGAAGAACAAGGGGTAGTGAAGGTCAGACTTCAGCCTGATGGGCAGGGTCTTTTCTATCAGTTTCTGAAATGTGCACTCGATGGTGTGGACTTGTGTGAATTCTGTGATTTCCTGCCTTGCCCTGCCTTTCAGATTTGGCTTGGTCTCTGAGCTCAGGAAATTATAGTATAGTTGCTGTTTCTTTCTTCCTTCTGTAAAACTTTCCTGTGACAGAGGAGCGGGCCAAGAAGGAGGCAGCTGAGAGGGAAGAGGAGCTTTCAAGACAGAGACTACAGGAACAACAGCAACAGATGGAGGCTCAAGAGAGGAGTTTCAAGGAAAACGTGGAGCAACTGAGAAAGAAGCTGGAGGAGGAGAGAGAAGAGCTCCTGAAAAACCAGAACACCATGTTGGAGCACCAGCTGAAGGTGGGTGATGCCCTGTTCAGTAGTTCTGATGGTCCTGGGGCCCCAGAAGGAATAGTGCAGATTACACTCAGCTCACAGAAGTAATAATATCACCATTTGTTGCTTATGATTTATTCTAAGTGTTAATATATACTTATTAACCTCCCTCCCCTGCCCACAAATACTATTTTTTCCCTTAAAATTTCTTTGAATTTTTTTCTCCTATTTGGGGTCTGGAGATCCAGGTCTTATGATTTATCAATCCCTGGGGATTACAAATTTATTTTAAGCTGCTGTTTTGAAAGTTTTAAAGTGGTCTCACAAGTGTCAGGGTAAATACATTTTTCCATTGAGTTGTAGTAAATATGAGCAGCGATTGGTTTGCATTCCCAAGACTCATATTATCAAGATACCTACTCATATCCCAAAAACCGTAGGTAGATTCATACCAATATAAAACTGTTAGAAATTTCTGAAATTAAAAGCACAGGGAAGTGACAGCTTCTAAGATTGCTACAATCTGCTCCAGGTTTGTATAGCTGCCTGAGCACGCATATTGCATGGGAGGAAATCTTTCAGATTCCATCTAGATGTTATATGAGAACAGATTTCTAGATTAGCTGGTGAGTTCTCATCATCACTATAGTATTGAGACCATGCAACACCAGTGGCACTGAGTGTATATTTGGTCAGACCAGTGGCTTTTCTTTTGGGAAGAATATGAAGAAGTTTTTATCACCTTGGTTATCATAGCAGCAGAATTGTAATGGTAGGTTAATATTAAGCAAGTTGGAAACTATGTTTCCTTAATAGTGTCTAGGTCTATTCCAGATGGTAGTTTTTGTTACTAAATTATCTTAACAATAATGGAGAAAACATTCTAGGGGTAAGAGATATTTTACAAAATTTTGACTAATTGTGATTTTCAAGAATCAGAATTATAAAATATTTAAATCCCTTCTAATGCATATTTATTTATTTTAGATTCAAAAGGATTTGCTTGAGGAAGGATTTAGGAAGAAATCCAAGGAAATGAATGAAAGAATTAATCAACTGAAAGAAAGAATTGAAGTTACAAAAAATAATAATACTCCCTGGATTGCAAGAGTGTTGGATGCATTTGGTGATAACCTGACTTCAGTATTGTCTGCTCCTGGTAAATATATTGGTAATCTTGTAAAAAATTTTGCCTCCCTATTTAAAAAGTAATAGTTTATCCTTAAGAAATCTGTAGATTGTGGTGTATGCTTGGCCTGTTTTGATGTGCATGGTTTTCATTTTCATTCAGCAAAATTTTAAACAAGATAAAAAGTACTTTGTAGAAGATATCAGTGCTTGTCCTATATTAGACAGACATATAGCATGCATACATTGGCAAATGATGTTCACTTTTAGGAAACACACACTTACAATATTATACATATGTAAGAGTCATTTGATGCATTGATTTTTAACAGCAAAAATTTGATAACTACATAAAATTGGTACCATAAATTTTCATAGGTGCTGATATTGGAATAGCCATGAAACAAAATATCTTGAAGTTCTCTATAGCTTAATATATTGTGATTCTAAAGATGTAATGTGAAGTTCAAAACCATGTCTGAAACAGTGTATGTATTCTGATCACTATTAAAAATGCAATTACATATAACCAATATATGTACAAAAAATATTTTGTGAAAGATTAATGAGAAACTAGTATCATTGGCCCCTTTGGGGGAGAGCTGGGTGAAATCAGGAGTTGAAGAGACATGTACCTTTTATTATATACTCCATCTTTTGAAATTTGTAAAGAAAACTTGTATCTACTTATTTAGAAATAAATTAGAAACTTTAATTTCTTATACTAAAACTGATAACAATGAAAGTGAATTTGACTATTATATGATGAAATATGCTCATTATTTCAATAAATGGTAGCTCAATGATGGATGGGATGTAAAACTGCTATCTGAGTACTAGAAAGCAAAACATTTGCATCCTAATCTTATTTTCAATGTGGCCTTGTTTTATAATCCCTATATTTGTTTCATAATTGAGGTATAAATTTTTCTGTGACTGTTGAAATATCAATTAAATCTTATCTCTGTTTCCTAATTCTGAGTTAATTTAAGTTGTGAAAAGCACAATGACCACATTTTCATAGTGTGCATGGGCTGGCTTTGGTGGTGCTCCCCTGTAATCTCAGTGGCTGGGGAGCATGAGGCAGGAAGATAGTGAGTTCAAAGCCAGCCTCAACAAGTTAATGATTCCCTAAGAACCTTAGCAAGATATTGTCGAAATAAAAAATAAATATGTTATGGAGATGTGGTTTAGTGGTAAAGCATCCCTGGGTTCAATCACTGGTACCGGAAAAAAGAATTGCATTGGTGGAAGAATCTTGGCTTCCTTGCAATTTTAGAGGTGCTCTCTGTGGTGAAAGGGCAGAGGGTACAATTTTTTTTACAACTGGACCCATTGGTAGAGAATGAGCCTGACACATGGAGGCCAGGTGTTGGCTTGCAAACTGGGCAAACTAGAATGGCCAACCAACTATTACCATAGGCAGAAGTAAAGAGATCTCAAATAGAAAGTCTGAAGTCAAAGGAGAATGAAGAATCAAGATAGCAGTTTATATGTAAAATGATCAATAAATATTGATTGTGTGAAACTGCTGTAATCATGTACTTGATTAAAAAAGAGAGAAGCATTAACAAAAAATAATTAAGCCAACATGAGATACAAGTCAAATATTTTGAAGTCCTTGACTTATTTTGGAGGAAATTAAAGGTGAATAAATTTGAAGTTGATGATTTAAGGATGAATATTGTCACTTACAAGGTAATTAATTCAAGAATAGGGAAAGTTTTAAAATTTTGATACTAGGAGATGTACAAATTATCTTATATTTCAGTTGTGATAGTCAACCCAAAGTGACTCCATTTTGTTTAGTAACACTCCATTTTGTAAAACAACCTTGCCAAATAGAAAGGTCATGACTGGGGCAAGTTGTTATTTTTCCTTTTGCAATAGAAACCCTTAAGAACACGGAATTACCTAATGGGGCATTGTTTCTATAATGAGGGTAATGCAGCTCTGTTTCTGTAACTGGGGTGACTGGGCTAATTGTGATTGACTAAGTGTCCCACTGCCTGACTGCACTCTCCCACTTCTGTAACTTGGCTTGCTTTCATTTGCTGGACCCCCAAAATCCCTTTTGTGGTTTTCAGGCTTATAAGGAGCACCCTTGCAATTGTTTGGGGCTGATCAGGGGAACAGCTTTATGTTCTGGTCAGTCACTACCGGTGTGTTTCAATAAAGGCTTGATTCGATTATACATGAATGGTCTGGAAGTCAATTTATGAAACTCTGGGACATTGCTTTAACTATAACACAGTAATTGAGTTAAAAAAAATAACAGATCAAAATATCAATAAACTTAGAGTATTTTGAAAATCATGATTAACAAGTATGGCCAGATGTATTAATGTAATACTCAGCTCATTCTTTATAAACACACATGTAATAAAGAATAAAGTTTGTATAAGGCACAAAGCAGGATTGGTAGTGCCTTTTGTCAGATTCTCTAGAGACAAAGCTTCCGAAGAGATTTTTGTCCAAGTGATTTATCAAGGGTGCCTTTAGTACAGTAAGATTGAGGGAGGCAGGGGAGAGCAGGAAAATAAAAACTAAGAAAAGATTGTGCCTCAAGTGAAACTAGCTTAGGGCTGAATTGTCCAAATGTTGCCCGAATTGGCTTCTTCTTAAGGTGCTGGATATCTGTACCCACCTTAGTCAGTCATCTTCAGTGGGCCATTCAGTTGGGAGAGGCTGTGTAAGCTCCCGGCAGAGCAGCTCCCATTTAGTCAAGGGAGTTTCTCTGGAGAAAGGGGCAGCTCTGAACCTTTATCAATGCAAACTCCCAGCTATAGAGTTAGAGGTTCAGTGGTTTGGAAAAGGGGATTTGGGCAAGATTCTAGTGACAGCAGTAGTAAAAATAGCAACTGCACAACTGCATTGTGCAAGACCATGCAGGCTACACCTAATACTACCAGGGTTCCTGCATTCCAGCGGCCAGTGATCTAGACCCAGAATCTCATCTTAGCATCTTAGATTTCAGATCTTTCCTGTTACAATCCACTGCTGATTGGATTCTACAGGAAGCAAATCATGAGATGCACATTTGCAGGAGTACTTCTGAAGTGAACATTCATGCAAAGGTGTAGAAGATGGCATTGTGAAGAAGAGGAGTTTAATTGTGATGCAGATTCAGTAATGGCTTCACTAACTGCATTGGAAGGCTCTGGAGAGCAGAGGTTCTTATGGCAGTCAGAAAACTTGGAAAGAGAAGAGACCAGACATCCTGAAGCCTGTGACTTTTTTTCAGAAAGAGACTGAAAATAGTTTTTATTTTTATTTATTTTTGAGGAAACAGTGTATATCAGAACCATAGAATATAAGATGGATAAAGAAGAAAATGGGAATATGGGTATGGTGAAAAGAGGGTGAGCAGTGTGCATATAGACTTCATTTTTCCTATAATGGGAGACTTAAAAATTCCTTCTTAAAGACTTGTAAGAATGATGACATGACCTCAGACCACCACGGGAGTCAATATCCAGCCCAGCCCTTGTGGGACCCAGTCTCACAGTAGACCTGGGTCCACCCCTTCATCAGCAGGCACCTGATGGAGCCTAGCCTCTGGCATAGGACCTTCTCTTCCAACCAGCAGACTACTGCAGGAATTAGGCCAGGCCCAGATCTGTCCACACAGACTTGTGCAGGACCCAGGTCTAGGATGCAGTATCATCCTTTGAGGGACACCAGCAGGGTCTGGAAGCCCAACATCAAGGTGAGGCTCAGAAAATCTGCACAGGTACTACAAGAATATAGGATCCACACTGGAAGAAAGGAAGACACATAGACAACATAAAAACACAAGGGAGGAAAGTGCCCCAAACAAACCAGGACACTATGGACAGTAAAGTTGATGAAATGTCAGAGAAGAAGTTCAGAAGTTTCATAATTAAAATGATCTGTGAATTAAAGAATAACCTAAATGAGCAAATACAGGCAAAGATTAATCACTCCAACAATGAGATAAGAGAGCAAATACAAGTAGCAAAAGATTACTTCGAGAGATGGAGACAGAAAAAAAAAACAGTCAAAAATCCTTGAAATGAAGGATACAATAAATCAAATAAAAAACTCAATAGAAAGCATAACCAACAGACTAGATCACCTGGGAGAAAGAACGTCAGATAATGAAGACAAAGTATACAATCTGGAAAATTAAGTTAGTGAAACTAGTTAGAAACCATGAACAGAAAATTAAAGAATTATGGAACAGCATCAAAAGACCAAATCAAGGAGTTATTGGGATAGAGGAAGGCACAAAATTTCAAAGCAAAGGAATGCACAATCTCTTCAATGAGATAATATCAGAAAGTTTCCCAAGCATAAAGAATGAATTGGAAAACAAAATACAAGAGGCTTACAGGACACAAAATGTACAAAATTACAACAGATCTACACCAAGGCACATTATAATGAAAATGATTAGCATATAGAATAAGGATAGAATCTTAAAAGCCACAAGAGAGAGGAATCAGATAACTTATAGGGGGAGACCAATTCATATTGCAGTGGATTTTTCAACCCAGACCCTCAAAGCCAGGAGATGGTTGAACAACATATTTGAAGCTCTGAAAGAAAATTGATGCCAACGAAGAATCTTATATACAGAAAAACTAAGCTTTAGGTTTGATGATAAAATAAAAACTTTCCATAAAAAACAAAAGTTAAAAGAATTTACAACCAGAAAGTCTGCACTACAGAACCTCCTCAACAAAATATTCCAAGAAAAGGAAATGGAAAACAATGATGAAAATCAGCAGAGGGAGGGATTACACTAAAGGAATCTAATCAGAGGAGAAACCAACTCATGTTAAATAACAAAAATGGCTGGGAATACATATCATGTCTCAATAATAACCCTGATTGTGAATGGCCTAAACTCACCAATCAAATGAAATAGACTGGCAGATTGGATTAAAAAAAAAAAGACCCAACAATCTGCTGCCTCCAAAAGACTCATCTCATAGGAGAAGACATACACAGACTGAAGGTGAAGGGTTGGGAAAAATCATTCCACTCAGATGGACTGCAGAAGCAAGCAGGGTTTCCATCCTCCTATCAAATAAAGTAGACTTCAAATTAAAGTCAAT